AGCCCTTCGTGGCCCCCTCGCTGCCCTTCGTGGCCCCGTTGCAGCCCTTCGTGGCTCCCTCGCTGCCCGTCATGGCCCCGTTGCAGCCCTTCGCGGCCCCCTCGCTGCCCTCCGTGGCCTCGTTGCAGCCTTTCGTGACCCCTTCGCTGTCCTTCGTGGCCCCGTTGCAGCCCTTCGTTGCCCCCTCGCTGCCCTTCGTGGCCCCGTTGCGCCCCCTCGTTGCCCCTTCGCTGCCTTTCGCGGCCCCGTTGCAGACCTTCGTGGCTCCCTCGCTGCCTTTCTTGGCCCCATATATGTATGCCCTTCGTAGTTCCTCCCCCGCTCCTTCGCGCCCGTCGTGGCCCCATATGCATGCGCTTCGTGGCCCCGCTGTCGCCTTTCGTGGTTCCGCTGCCGCCTTTCGTGACCCCGTCGCTACCGTCAGTGGCCCCGTCCTTGCCCTTGCGGCCCAATATACGTATGCCCTTCGTGGCCCCCGGTCGTTCGCGGCCGTCGTGCCCCCATGTGCATGCCTTTTGTGGCCCCGCTGTCGCCCTTCGTGGCCCCCTGGCTATCCTACGTGGCCCCGTTGCTACCCTCAGTGGCCCTGTCGTTGCTGTCAGTGGCCCCGCATTATCTGCCCTTCGTGGCCCCCGCTCGTTCGCGCCGTTCGTGGACGCATGCCCGTCGTGGCCCCGCTGTGACCCTTCGTGTCCCCCTTCCTGCCCTTCGTGGCCCCGCTGTCGCCTTCGCTCTCGCTCTCGCTGTCGCTGTCGCTCTCGCTCTCGCTCTCGTTGTTGTTGTTGTTGTTGTTGTTGTTGTTGGTGTTGCTGTTGGTGTTGGTGTTGGTGTTGGTGTTGTTGCTGTTGTTGTTGTTGTTGTTGTTGGTGTTGTTGTTGTTGTTGTTGTTGTTGTTGTTGTTGTTGTTGTTGTTGTTGTTTTTGTTGTGTGTTGTTGTTGTTGTGGTTGTTGTTGTTATTGCTGTTGTTGTTGTGTTGTTGTTATGGTTGTGGTTGTTGTTGCAATCGTAGTCGTAGTTGTAGTTGTTGTTTTTTTTGCTATTGTTGTTGTTAATGCTGTTAATGTTGTTGTTGTTGTTGCTGCTGCTGTTGTTGTTATTGTAGTTGTTGTTGTTTTTGTTGTTATTGTTCTTCTTGGCGTTGTTACTATTGTTGATGATGCTGCTGGTGTTGTTGCTGTTTCTGTCGCGGTTGCTGTTGCGGCTGTTGCTTTTGTCGGTGTTGCAGTTGTTGTTGTTGTTGTTGCTGTGGTTTGTGTTGTTGTTGTTGTTGCTGCTGCTTCTGCTGCTGCTGTTGTTGTTGTTGTTGTTGTTGTTGTTGTTGTTGTTGTTATTGTTGTTGTTGTTGTTGTTGTCGTTGTTGTTGTTGTTGTTGTTGTTGTTGTTGTTGTTGTTGTTGCTGCTGCTGCTGTTGTTGTTGTTGTTGTTGTTGTTGTTGTTGTTGTGGTTGTTGCTGCAGTTTGTGGTGGTGGTCGACGCTGCACCTAGACACCCGTCCCCCCCCCAACCAGCAACCCCAGCAATCCCCCAGAGGAGGCTTTCGGCTCCCCCTGGGGGGGTGCTGGGGTGGCTGGTTGCTGGGGTTCTTGCGGATTGTTAAAGATTCTCAAAAGGGATTCCTGAAGAATTCCTGACGATTCCCATGGGCTACCTGAGGGAATGCGTGACGGATTCCTGAAGATTTCCGAGGGATTCCTGAGGATTCCTGAGCAGTCTCATGGATTTCAGAGGAATCCTGTATTGATTCCCAAGGGATTGTAAATGATTCCTGGCGGAGTTTTGAGGGATACCTGAAAGATTCCTGAGGGTTCCTCAGGGATGCCTGGAGATTCGTGAAGGTTCCCTGAAGATTCCCAAGGGATTCCGGAAGGATCCCTGAGGGATTCCCAAGGGATTCCTAGAGGGATTCCTTAAGGGTCCTTCAGGATTTTCGCGAGGGACTCCTGAGGGATTCCCGATGGATTCTTGAGGATTCCTCAGGGATTCATGTGGATTCTTGAATGATTCCTGAAGGATTCCCTGCTGGATTCCGAAGGGGTTTCTGAGGATCTCTCAGGGGTTTCTGAAGGATCCCTGAGGATTCCTGAAGGAACCTTTGAGGGTTTTAAGCCGGATTCTTGAAGGATTCCAGAGGATTCATGAAGGGTTCCTAAGGTTTCCTGCAGGGTTCCGGAGGATTCCCGAGGGATTCCTAAAGGATTTCTGGGGGGTTCCTGGGTGTTCCGACGGGTTCCTGAAAGATTCCGAGAGCTTCATTCCTGCGGGATTTTTGAAGGATTTCTGATTGGGTCCTCAGGGATTCCTGAGGCAATCCCTTCTGGATTCCTGAAGGATTCTTGAGGGATTCCTGAAGAATTCTAGAAGTATTCCTGAAGGATTCCTCGTGAAGAGATTCCTCAGGGGTCCTATGGAGTCGGGAAACATGTCCTGGAATTCCTGAGATTCGGCGTCACCCTGACATGCTCATACTGTGGGTGCGTCACCCCCCAAGGGGGGATGCGCGCTCCGAGAAATCTTATATTATATGTTTCGTGGCGGGCGCTTTCTGGCCGTACCGCTCAGGCAGCGATCTAATACAGGGTGGTAGTACAATATGTTTGGATCGGACGCGCGCCTCCGAGGAGGATGTATACATATGCACATATATATATATATATATATATATAGTGCTACTATGTCCATGTGCGTCCCTGGGCTGGGTGGGGACGGGGTGGGTGGTGGGGTGGCGTGGGCAGGGCGTCGAAGTTTGACCCGACCTTGCTTTTATTCTCAAGGCTGTGAAGGTAAGATGAGGATGAGGAGGAGGAGGAGGAGGAGGAGAGGACGAGAGGAGGATAACGAGGAGAGAGGAGGCGGCGGAGGAGGAGGAGGCGGAGGAGGAGGAAGAGAACGAGGAGGAGGAGGAGGAGGAGGAGGAGGAGGAGGAGGAGGAGGAGGAGGGGGAGGAGGAGGAGGAGGAGGAGGAGGAGGGAGGAGGGAGGAGGAGGAGGGAGGAGAGAGGAGGAGGAGGAGGAGGAGGAGGAGGAGGAGGAGGAGGAGGAGAGGAGGAGGAGGAGGAGGAGGAGGAGGAGAGGAGGAGGAGGGGGAGGAGGAGGAGGAGGAGGAGGAGGAGGAGGAGGAGGAGGAGGAGGAGGAGCAGGAGGTGGAGGAGGAGGAGGAGGAGGAGGAGGAGGGTTGCAGAAGTTGTGGGAGTGGTGGATGTTGTGGCAGGAATGGGATGATACCGGAAGTCGATGAAGAAATGCGGAGGGGTGAGGAGAAATGGATGCTTGTGGAGGTTTTGGTACGAGTGCGTGAGGGCGAGGAGGAACGGGGCAATTGCGGAGGTTGTGGGAGGAGTGTAGATGTCGTGGGAAGAATGGGAGGGTGCGGAGGTTTCGGAAGCAACGCGAAGGGAGATTGAGGAATGGGAGGGTTGCGAATGTTTTCGCTCGGAGGGGTCTGGAGGACTGAGGGGATTTTGGAGGTTGTGGGAGAAGTGCGGTGGAGCTGGCGGAGGAGAGGGAGGCAGAGGAGGCATGGAGACGGAGGAACAGGAGGAGGAAGAGCAGCAGCAGCAGCAGCAGAGGGCCGTCGGGCGGTTGGTAGAGCCCGTGGCAGCAGGTTGCCGGCCAATGCCGAACTGGTCAGCCGTGGCCGCGGGAGCCTCATGGAGCGAGGATGACGAGGAGCGAGGCGTGAGGAGGTTTGAGGTTAGAGGTGTTCGGAATTCCTCGTTGGTTCTCATTTCGGCGCTTTCGCTTCTGAGCAATTCCCAGTCTTACCATGTACTTCTGGCCTGGTATCATACGAATCGGCGCCGCTTGGGGTCTCTTCGGGGCCTCGTGGGAGTTTTTTGGGGGCCTCTTGGGGGCTTCGTGGGGTCTTTTTGGGAGCCACCTGGGGGCCTTTGAAGCCTCTTGGAGGCCTCTTCGGGGCTCGTGGAGTCATCTGGGGGTTGGTGGCTCGACGGGTGAGTTCGAATTCCCCTCTTGGGACCCTCTTGGGGCCGTTTTGGAAGCCTGTTGGGGTCGTCTTGGGGGCCTCCTGGTCCATTTTGGGGCTGCCTTGGGCCGTCTTGGGGCCCTGTATGGGGGCCTCTTGGGTTGTCTTGGGGCGGTCCTGGGGGCATCTTGGGCGCTGAAAAGCTTGACAAGGCGACAATGTTGAAATCGTGCAGAAAGCAATGGGGTTTGGAGGAATGGGGCCTCTTGGGGCGCCCCAGGGGGTCTTCTTGGGACCCTCTGACAACGTCTTGGAGGCCTTTTGAACCGTCTTGAGGCCATGTTGTGCGCCCTGGAGCGCTGTTGTGCCGTTTTCGGCGCCTCTAGGACTGTTTTGTTTTGGTGGTTTTCTGGGCCCCCTCTGGCCCGTCATGGAGTGGCTGGGGGGTCCAGGGAGGGGGGGGGAGGGGGGGAAATGGTCGACCCCATCGACCCCCCCCTCCTCCCCCTACCCTGGCAGAGCCTCCAGCAGAGCTGAAGCTCAGGCTGTAGCTCAGGCCCTTTGAAACTTACCAGCTGGATCGGCGGATTTTCATGGAGAAGGCAGCCTACCATCGCAGCAACAAGACTTGAACATGACAATGATAAGCTCCTCCCATCCAGCGCTGTGCTCTGCGGGGCATGCCTGGTCAAAGAGGCTTTCTCCGTCCACATCCCCACAGCAAAGCCCAGCCTCCCCCAAGCGGTGTCTGGGAGGACTTGTGTGCACTTCGCCCTGCCTTCGCCGCGCCGAGATCGTCCGGTCGCGTCGCGGCAGACCTGGGGCAGGGCGCGATCCCTCCTGACTGGCTTGAGCCCAAAAGGTTAAAGAGCCTTGGGCCGCGTGTGCTTGAGAGGACGAGGGGGAAGAAGAGGAGGAGGAGGAGGAGGAGGAGGAGGAGGAGGAGGAGAGGAATAATGCCGAGGAGGAGGGGGAGGAGGAGGAGGAGGAGGTGGAGGAGAACACGGAGGATGAGGAGGTCATGGAGGTCGATGGGAAACCGGGCTCCTTCCAGAGATGCCCCCCCCCCCTGGAACAGGTCCTCGAGCAGTGGCTGCAGAGCCCGCTGGGCGCGTCGCTGTGCTGCCGCTCCAGGTTACGTCTTTGCTCATGTATCCCAAAGCAGAAAGCTGCAATTCCTCGCGCGGCGCGAGCATCCTTGCGGTTTTTGGGCGTTCTCGTTGATCCTCGGCGGTCTTCCAGCCTCGGGATGCTCTCCAGCAGCTGCGCCTCGCCGAGACGTGCCCAGAGGTCAGGATCGTCCCGAACGGCCGCCAGAGGCTCGAGTTTGTGGCCTCACAGCTCAGATCTCCGACGATGCTACTTCTGGACGTCCGCACGGTTTTTCGGGGTCGTCGCTGGGCCCCCCGCCTTGCCAATTCGCGCGCCAGGGGAGGAGTGTGCGGAGGCGGGTCCAGCGCCGACCCAGGACATCTGCCCAGACATCCCAAGATGTACGTGCTCGTTGTCGTCTTGTCCGCAATATTTGTTCAGGACTACGGAGTGGGGGCGCTGCCAGTCGTAAGATTCGCTAGGTTTCGTTGGACACCCTCGCACCCTTCGGCGGCGATGCCGGCGCGGGCGCTCGAGGTTGAGCGCCTTGAGGGGTGTTTGTCGATAGAGAGCAGCGACGACCCCCTTGGAGTGGAAGCCGTGAGTGTTCTGGAAGAGTTGGGCCGCCAAGCCATCCACGGACAGAGGAGAGGGCTGGTGGGATCCCTGCTCCTGCCTCGGCTGCCGTTCGCGGTCCCGGTCCCCCGCTGCCGCTGGTCCCTCCCCGGCCTCCGCCTTTGCTCCTGCTCGCGTTGTTCTTGCGCGGATCCACCCGCTCCTCCTTCTCCATGTCATCCTCCACCGCCTCCGCTTCCTTCTCCTGCCAAGTCTGCTGATCTTGTCGCTGTTCCTGCTGCGCCACTGCTGCCGTCGCCCCCTGCCGCCAGATGTCTGGCGCTTTCGCGGGCTGCTGGACCGAATCAGTGGTCGAGCCTTTGTCAGCACTTAGATCCGCGCGTTTGCTGTCGGATGTTCTTGCAGTCAACATGTTGCTCCCATTCTAAACAATCTCCATTCCTTCTTGTAAATAACTTCTCCCTGTCGCACCCGGAGGCCAGTTTTTAGGGCGGGCCGGGCGTTTCGCCTGAAGCTTAAACATTGGCAACAGCTTCACAGATGGAGGGCGGGTGGTTTTCAAAATGTGGTTATCGCCTTAGCGCCGCGCACATTCGTTTTCAGAATTTGCAAGAGTTTCACGGATTGAGGGCGGGTGGTTTTCAAAAGGTGGCTTTCGCCTTAGCGCCGCGCGCATTCGTTTTCAACATTCGCAAGAGTTTCACGGCTCGAGGGCGGCTCCTTTTTAGCATGTGGCTCTCGCTTTAGCGCCGCGCACATTCTAGTTGAACAGTTGCAAGGGTTTCACGGATTCCCATGAGCGACGTACCAGAACTGGTATTTTAAAAGGTTCACGATTATGAGGGCGCAACAGTTTCGATGATTCGTGGTGTTGAAGTCCCAGGAGTGGCGTTCTGGCACGACTCAAGATCGTCAAACGCAACAGTGAGGTTGGTTCGTGGCGTTGGAATACCGAGAACAATGTTTTGGCACGCTTCAGGGTCTTCAAACGGTTGTCTCCCAACCAGGCAGGTCCCCCTCTGTGGAGATTAACCGTTGTCGGAGCTTATGAAGAGGAAGCTTGGGGGGAGGGCTTTTTCCAACAGCGTTGGTGATTCTTGGGTTCACACTTGTCTTCCTCCTCCTGCTCCTCCTCCTTTTGCTTCTCCTCCTCCTCCTCCTCCTCCTCCTCCTCCTCCTCCTCACTTCTCTCTCCTCCTTCCTCTCCTCGTCCTCCTCTTCCTCGTCCTTGCCGTCCTCCTGCTTCTCCCTCTCCTCCCTCTCCTCCTCCCTCCTCCCTCCTCCCTCCTCCTCCTCCTCCTCCTCCTCCTCCTCCTCCTCCTCCTCCTCCTCCTCCTCCTCCTCCTCCTCCCTCGTCCTTCTCCTCCTCGTCCTCTTCTTCTCCGCCTCCTCCTCCTCCTCCCTTCCGCCCTTGTACCTCCTTCCTCGCCTCCCTCCTTCCTCTCCTCCATCCCGCAAGGGTTTGTGCGCCACCCTGGAGCAGCAGGGGGGAGCGCCGGGCCGATCCAGCCCCCCCCCTCGTCCTGTGTGCCGCGAGGGGGGAGCGCTCTCTCTGGAATCGGTACCATCGAAATGGGTTTCGGAGAGAGTTGGTACGAGGACCAAGCAGTTCCTGTTCGTCCTCAACAGGGTTCCCTGTAGACGTAGTTGCGGACTTCTCCTTTCGAGACACAAGGCCGCCTGCTTAACAGCGGCCGCTGTCGGTTTGGGACGCCTTTTGTTGGTGGGCATCATGTCCGTTTTTTCCGTACCCATTTCGGGCGTCCAAAAAGGGACGTGGCCGCTTTCTCCGAGCTCGTCATTGCTGCTTCGGGGGGCGCCTAGTCTACACGTGCACCGACCTCGGCCTTTCCCACCCGAAACATATCCATACCCCCATGATTGGCATCACCTTCTGTCGATGCTGGTTTGAAGGGTCCTCCCAGTTTCTGAGGGCACATCCCTGAGATTGTCATCGCGGCGAGCTTGTCGATCGCATGGGTGGGAGTCAACTCGAAGCTAGTCATGGTCTGGCCGATCCTGAGGCTCAGGATCGGTGTATGCGCCTTCCTGGCCAAGGCCAAGGAGGCGCCCGCGCCGACCCTGGGCCTCAGGATGGGCCGTGGCCAGGATCGGTGCAGGTCTGCAGCTGGCACCCTCCCGGTGATCCCCCTCCTCGTGATCTTCGGGGCCTGCCGTCGAAGAGGAGAGAACGGCACAGACAGAAGCTTTTGGCGCTCCGCGCGGATTTCTGGGATTTGCCCTGGCCCCCTTGGCGGCGCCTCTGGCGCGCTCCGCGCGCCAGGGAGGGGAGTCGAGCGCGGATCCAAGAAATCCGCGCGGACCATCGAATGTTTTTGTTTGTCTCGTTTTTGGTTCCTCGATCGTGATCTTCTGGGGTCGCTGACTCCCCTGCTGGCTGCTGCAGCTGCTGCAGCGGCAGTGGACGCACCAGCGGCGGAGACGTTCACAGTCTTGTCCTCCGGTCCATACCTTTGGGTTTGGCTCTCGACAGACCGGTGCAGCGCTGCTCGGGGCTTGCCCTCGGGAGCCTGCGTTCGCGCCCCGTCTTCTCGCCCACGGCCGCCTGGCTCCTGCCGAGCTCGCCCTCGTCCCTGCTTCGGAGGCTTGATGTGATCATTGCTGCGGTAGGTCCGCGTCGTGTCGACCGGCAGCGACCCCGCCGCCGGCGTTCAACATTGAACGCCGCCAGCGATCCAGAGTCGATCGATGTTGAACGATCTGACGTTTCGGAAACGGCCGATCGTTCAAGGCTGAACGATCCCCGCGGTGTCAGAAGCCAACGCCGAAGTCGGCACGACACCCCGGCGGCACCCCGAGCAGCGCCGCCACAGGGAGCAGCAGCTCGACAGCTGGACCGCGTGTCCAAGACCAATCAGGGGCAACGTTAGGTGGGGTGGGCATGGGCCCTGGGCTCAGGGGGTGGATGCATCGACACCCCATCGCCCACTCATCGCCGACAGAAGCCTGATCGCCCGCACCGCCGAGGACCGTGCGGATTTGCAATCGGGAGCTTATCGCCGATCTATCGGCGATGTGTCGCCGATTGAAGCTCGGTGTTCCCCCCCTCAGGCGGTCCCCCCCGTACCGTTGCTCCTCAACCAAGTCAGTGCGCTGCGCAGGGAAACCCGATGTTTAGAATTTGTCCGCGTCCAGCATGTGTGATTCTTGCCTCATCGCCGCCGTCTCAATCGCTTTCTCCCTTGAGGCTGCATGACTGCTCCCAGGTCGTCAGCAGGGGCGCGAAGAGGGTCGCGCTTCGCTCCTCGTGGTCTGGGCCAGACTGTCGTCCTGGAGGACGGGCGCGAGAGCGCGAAAGCTGCCGCGCGAAGCTGTGCGACCCGGGCTGCCGAGCACAAACGGACCCTCGCCAGCGGGAGCGTGCCCATCATCGACGCGATCAGCATGTGCGCGGAGCTGTGCGAGCTTTCTGGAGGACGGCCGCCAGCGGCCAACGGACAGCATCGACAGCGGCACAGGTGACGACTGCGGCGGCGACGGCGTGGAGGGAGGACGGGAGGAGGGACTTGCAGGAGGATCATACGGATGGATCGGGGAGGCGGGGGGGATAGGAGAGGGAGGATGGAGAAGGGACGAGGGAGGAAATGTGCGGGGGTGGAAGAGGAGGAAATGGGAGGATGACGGATGGAGGGAAGGAGGGAGGGAGAAGGGAGAGGAGGAGGAGGCGGAGGAGGCGGAGGAGGAGGCGGAGGAGGCGGAGGAGGAGAGGCGGAGGAGGCGGAGGCGGAGGCGGAGGCGGAGGCGGGCGGAGGAGAGGAGGAGGAGGGGCGGAGGCGGAGGCGGAGGAGGAGGAGGAGGAGGAGGAGGAGGAGGAGGAGGAGGAGGAGGCGGAGGAGGGAGGAGAGGAGGCGGAGGAGGGAGGAGGATGAGAGGAGGAGGAGGAGGGGGAGCGGAGGGGGAGGCGGAGGCGGAGGCGGAGGCGGCGGAGGCAGAGGAGGAGGAGGAGGAGGAGGAGGAGGAGGAGGAGGAGGAGGAGGAGGAGGAGGAGGAGGAGGAGGGTGCGGAGCGGAGGCGGAGGCGGAGGCGGAGGAGGAGGAGGAGGGAGGAGGAGGAGGAGAGGAGGAGGAGGAGGAGGAGGAGGAGGAAGAGCAGGAGGCATTGCCACGCTCGCCATAGGCTTAAAGTGTATCTGAGCCTAAACCTATCGTCGCGGATGAGGCGACCATCACAGAGAAACACTAGAGATTCGCAGCCTGAAAGAGTGAGGGAGTGCTCGCCGAGGGTGTTGCCTCACTGGTTGAAGCGCCAGCTCTGGTGGTCTCCTGATGCAGGACGGGCGTGTCGTGGGTTCGGAAGCGCCAGCTCAGGAACATACGGTGGGGTCGTGCCGGGTCGACACGGTGGCGACGCCAGCGCGGTCGTTCGAGGTTGAAGGCCGCTGGCAGCCTGAAGGCGGCCTCGGCTGCCAGAAGGCCACGACCGTTCAAATTCAAGGCTGAACGACCCAGGCGGTGTCAGGGACCAGCGCAGAGAGCGCCACGACGTGAACCTGCCACAGCCCAGCAGACGAGGAGGCGGCAGGAGGGACGCGGAGCCCCTCCGCCCTCCCCGCAGCGGAGCCGCCCCCGCGCGCCCCGGAGGCTCCATCGCGAGGCTGGCGGGCGCCGTCGGAGCGTGCCCGCCAGACGGCCCCGTCGCTGTGGACGCGGCGGGCCAGGCGGGGAGGGGCCCGGCGGGGTCGGCGGCTGCCCGGACGTCTGCCTGGTGGGGCCCCGTCTGCGCGTGAGGCTTTTTGGGGCCCGTCCTCGGGACGGAGACTCCGCGGGAATGTTGGCCAGGGAGGGTGGGCTCGGAGGGGGCATGCATCGACCCCCAATCGCCCGTTGGTCGCCAATGGCGGCCCGATGGCCAAGGTCGCTTGCCCCATCCGTTGTGTGGAGGGAGGTGGGACGGCGAGAGGGAAGGGATAGTAGTGCGCCAGCTGTACACCAGCGCCGCTCCTTGCCAGGCCACCCCTGGGCCCACGGCTGGTATGGACGCCACTTCTGGCGGCGTGCCCTGGGAGGTGGCGTGGAACATTTGGGGTGCAGAAGGAGCGAGGAGTGCAGGAGGACTCGAAGTCTCGACCCGTGAACCCACGAAGAAGCAGGGGGGAGGTCCAGGGAAAGGGGGGCCGTCGGGGAGGAGGCGGGGGAAGGGAAAGGGATCTGACGGGAGAGCACTGAGGTGCAGAGAAGGGGAAGACGAGCAGCTTGTTGTCACGTTTGCCGAACATTGCCCAGGGCCAGGCAAGCAGTGGAGCCGCTGAACGGTGTGGTCTGGATTCTGGTTCTTGCGACAGTCCATCTCCCATGCGGGCCATGGCTGGACAAAGAGACCCCTTCTGAAAAAGCTCAGGCAGATTCACGGACTAGCCTCGCCTACAGTGTCGTATCGCACCGCGCCGTTACGGGCCGCACCGTGTGCCCGCCTTGGGGTTGCGACGGCACGGCCTTGGCTTGGATGCAGAAGGCGCCACGATGACGCTGATCGTGTTGGTTCGCGCGGGCAGATCTGAGTCTGCGATCCGAGCTTGTTCGCGGAGGCCAGCAAGGGGCTGCTCAGAAATCTGGCGTGATTGCAGCCGAGTATGCCGTCTCACTGCAATTTCTTCACGCTTCGCGACGTCGCGTATCCCCACCAGCCCAGTCAGAAACGCTGCACATGAGAGCTGACGGGAAACGGGAGGAAGAGACACACGTCGTGAATCAAAACGGGCAACCATGGTGAACAGGTGATGCGGAGGAGGAGGGGGATGATGATGATGCTGATGATGATGATGCTGCTGCTGCTGCTGATGCTGATGCTGATGCTGATCCTGATTCTGCTTCTGATGATGATGCTGCGGATGATGCTGATGATGCTGATGATGACGATGATGATGCTGATGATTCTGCTGATGTTGCTGTTGATGATGCTGAATCATATGATGATGCTGATGCTGCTGATGAGATGGTGGTGGTGGTGGTGATGGTGGATGTGGTGGTGGTTGTGGCGGTGATGATGATGCTGGTGATGAGGATGATAATCATGATGCTGATACTGCTGATGCTGCTGCTGACGATGTGGACGGTGATGATGCTGATGATGATGATGATGATGATGATGATGATGGTGATAGTGATGGTGATGGTGGTGTTGATCATGATGGTTGTGATTATGAAGATGATGATGGTGAGGGTGGTGATGATGAAGATGATGATGATGATGATGATGATGATGATGATGATGATGATGATGATGATGATGCTGATGCTGATGCTGATGCTGATGCTGATGCTGATGGTGATGATGCTGCTGATGCTGATGCTGGTGCTGATGCTGATGCTTATGATGATGATGGTGATGATGCTGTTGATGATGCTGATGCTGCTGATGATGATGCTGTTGATGATGGTGAGGGTGGTGATGATGAAGATGATGATGATGATGATGATGATGATGATGATGATGATGATGATGATGATGATGATGATGATGATGATGATGCTGATGATGATGATGATGATGATTCTGCTGCTGCTGCTGATGAGGATGATGCTGATGTTGAGCAGGAGGAGGAGGATGAGAAAGGGGATGATGATGATGATGATGATGATGATGATGATGATGATGATGATGATGATGATGATGATGATGCTGGTGATGGTGATGGTGATGGTGATGGTGATGCTGCTGATGCTGATGCTGATGATGATGATGAATATTATGATGATGCTGATGATGCTGATGCTGCTTATGATGATGCTGCTGCTGCTGATGATGATGATGATGCTGATGATGATGATGATGATGATGATGATGATGATGATGATGATGCTGATGATGATGATGATGATGATGATGATGATGATGGTATAGACGACGACGAGAGGACGAGGAGGAGGGGGAGGAGGAGGAGGAGCAGGAGGAGGAGGACGAGGAGTAGGAGGAGGAGGAGGAGCAGGAGGACAAGAACACGGGCGAATAGGAAGAGGACAAGGACGAGGAGGACGATGCGGGCAAGGACGAGGAGGAGGAGGACGAAGACAAGGAGGAGGAGGAGGACGAAGAGGATGACGAGGAGGATGACGATGACAGAATGGATGACGAGGAGGAGGAGGTCGAGGAGGACGAGGACGCCGACTCTGGCAGCCATCTGGGTGTCTTCTTGGGTCCCTCTTGGGGTTCTCTTCTGGCTCTCTCGGGGCCCTCTTGGGTTTCTTTTGGGTGGTATTGGAGTCCCCTTTGGGCTCTTTAAGGATTTTTGGGCCCTCATGGAGCCCTGTTGGAGCCCTCTTGGGGGCCTCTTGGGAACATTGGAGGACCTCTTGGGGCCATCTTGGAGGCCATCGATCACAAGGGGGCTGGTCTATTATCTAGGCTCCCCTTCAGAGCCCTCAAAACCGTCTCTTGGGGCCCTCTTGGGGTGCTCTTGGGGCGCTCTTCGGCGCTCTTGGGACCGTCTTTGAGGCCTCTTGGGCCTCTCTTGTGATCTCTTGGGCCCATCTTGACGCCTCAGAAACGCATCGGAATTGGAAAGGCGAGAAGGCAGCATTCACATAATTCCCTCAGGCTTTCGAAGTAATATGACCTTTTTGGGGGTCCTGAGGGGGCTCCGAGAGCACTTGGAGCCGTCTGTGGCCTTCTTGGGGCCACGTGGAGGTATGTCCGAAGCTATATAGAACCATTTTCAGCTATCTTGGGTCGCCTTGGATACCATCTTGGAGCACTGGAGGCCCTCTTGGAGCCGTATTGGGCGAAACAGGACCCTCTGCCACCTCGCGAAGCCCCCAAAAACCACAGGGAGGGGAGGGGGAGAGTACCCCTCCCCGAAGGGAAGATGGGTTTTGGAATAGGGAAGAACGAACTCGTGAGACCACCTACGCCCAGAGGGCTGGTGGGCTGGGCTCGGTCGTCCACCAATCCAGATAGATCTTACGCGCTGACGTCATGAGGGTGACGAGCTTGCCCCCCACGGTGGTGCCCAGAAACCTCCGAACGGTTCCAAGAGTTCCAGGAAGCTCGAGCTTGGATCCTTTACCGCGGGCAGCGGCCGCCCTGCAGCAACAAATCGAGTCCTCTGACCTTTCGGGCCAAGAAAGGGCTGGCGGCGGCCGCCTGCGGAGGCCACGGGCCTCTCGGGGTCGTCGAGCGAGGGCCTCCTCCTCCCTCCTCCCTCCTCCCTCCTCTCTCCCTCCTCCTCCTCCTCCTCCTCCTCCTCCTCCTCCTCCTCCTCCTCCTCCTCCTCGCTCCTCCCTTCCGCCGCTCCTGGAGGAGGATAATGCAGGAGGGAGAGGGGCGAACGGGCTGCGAGTTGACAGCGGCCTCTGGATCGCGTAGCGTGGCGTCGTGAGGAGGAGGAGGGGGGGGAGGGGTAGGAGGAGTGCAGCACCAGTTGAAAGGGGGCCACCCGGTTGGCATGCACAATCAAACAAGTCGAACTCGTCCCCCGATTCGGTGGGGTCGTTGGGTACGCGCTTCTTCCTATCAAGTACACTTTTCCCAGCACTTCAGCCGAGGCGCGGGAGGAGGATCCAAACAGCGCGAGCCCACGGACGAGGCCACCTCCTGGCACCGAACACGGGGCAGCGTCCAGAGGGGGAACCCCGTTAGTGCCGAGCTTGGAGGCCATGAAGTCGGAGGAGGAGGAGGAGGAAGGTCCTTGGCATCTCCTTGCTTTGACTGTTGCACTTGCCTTTGTTGCTGTCTTGCCGTTCCGTCTTACCATCCTGCCATCCTCTCTTGTCTTCCCGCGGGCCGCCGCGGGCCACTAACGCCACGGGTGCGAGCGTGCGCCCTCCAGCCTGCGCAAGAGGAGGAGGAGGAGGAGGAGGAGGAGGAGGAGGAGGAGGAGGAGGAGGAGGAGGAAGAGGAGGAGGAGGAGGAGGAGGAGGAGGAGGGGAGGAGGAGGAGGAGGAGGAAGGAGGAGGAGGAGGAGGAGGAGGGGGGGGAGGAGGAGGAGGAGGAGGAGGAGGAGGAGGAGGAGGAGGAGGAGGAGGAGGAGTGAGGAGGAGGAGGAGGAGGAGGAGGAGGAGGAGGAGGAGAGGAGGAGGGGACGGAGGAGGAGGACGGAGGCGGAGGAGGAGGAGGAGGAGGAGAGGAGGAGGAGGAGGAGGAGGAGGAGGAGGAGGAGGAGGAGGAGAGGAGGAGAGTGGAGGAGGAGGAGGAGGAGGAGGAGGAGGAGGAGGAGGAGGAGGAGGAGGAGGAGGAGGAGGAGGAGGAGGTGGTTCGCCCAGTGCCCCCCCCGCAGGCGGTGCGGCTCCGGTCCGTGTCCGAGCGCGTCCGGGCGGCGGCGGAGGGCCACGTCCTCGGGGCGCCCGGTGCGCCCTCAAAGCATAGGCGCATAGGCGGAGGGCTGGGCGTCTGGTATTGGAGGGGTGCAGAGGCACCCAAGACGCCCCCCGAGGCCTCGGCGAGAAAACCCAAATCACTGTCGTTACGCAGGTTTGGGCCACATTTTGGCCTCCTGTGGGAGGGGCACCCTGATTAAGGAGCCCCTCTCCTTTGTTTGGTCTTAGGGGGCGGGGGGTCGAGGGTTGCAGGGAGAGGGGCCGTAAAGGACCCCTGAAAGGCCCCGCCTCCAGGGCCCCCGCAGGTGCGCGGCGGGTGCGCCTTGCTTCGCCCCCCCCCCCCCCCCCCCCTCCGTCCTCCCCCCTCTACTTCTGCCCCCTATTTGGCAGCGCCCGGGAGGGTGGGAGGGAAGACGACGGGGGGGTCCAGGGAGAGGGAGGGACGGAGGGAGGGAGGGAGGGAGGAGGAGGAGGAGGAGGAGGAGGAGGAAGAGGAGGAGAAGGAGGAGGAGGAGGACCTATGCAAACCCAAGAATCATCAACGATGTTGGATCAACCCTCTCTCCAAGCTTCCTCTTCATAGGCTCCTACAAGGATTCATTTCCACCGAGGAAATTGTGCCATTGGGATACAACGCTTTGAAGATCCTGAGGCGTGCCAGAACGCCATTCTCGGGCATTCAACGCTGCGAATCAACTTGACTGTTGCGTCTTGACTATCCTGAATCGTGCCAGAACACCATTCCCTTGACTTCAACACCGCGAATGTAAATTTTGCGCCCTGACAATCCTGAACCGCTCCCTAACAGCATTACTGGTATTTTCACAATGGAACTCCGTGATACTTGTGCAAATGTTTAGGACGAGCGTGCGCGGCGTTAAGGCGAGAGCATCATTTTGACAACCACCCGCCCTCAATCCTCGTAGCTCTTGTTGCGTTTTTTAACGCATGTGCGCGGCGCCAAATCGATAGCCACATTTTGGAAACTGCCCGCCCTCAATCCGTGAATCTCTTGTTTTGAAACGATGGTGCACGGCGCCAAGTCGAGAGACACATTTTGAAAATGACTCGCCGTCAATCCGTGACGGTCTTGCCATTTCTTTGGCGAATGTGAGCGGCGCTAATGCGAGAGCCACATTTTTGAAGCGACCCGCCCTCCATCTGTGAAATGGTTGCCACATTTGAAAGTTCAGAGAGAGCGTGATCCACCGGCTTTACTGTGGAAAATTCCCTTCCTCTTCCTCCGGAATCCGGGGTTCCCCCCCCCCTCCGAAAATCCCCCCCCCCCCCGGCTCCCCCCCCCCTTCCCCCCCCCGGCAATCCCCTCCTCCCCCACGCCTCCCCCCCCGACCCCCCCCCCTCGAAAACGGAGGGGGGGGTCACTACCGGTTCGAACCCCTCCCCACCCCCCCCCTCACCGCCAGCAAACGACTCCCGGTCCCTCCCTACCACCGTCCGCACCACATCCCCCGCTGTTGTTCCCATCACCACTGTCCTCATCGCCATTGTCCCCACTGGTTCCACCACCGTCCCTACTGTCCCCACCAGTGCCCCCACCACTGTCGCACTGTCCCCACTGTCCCCACCACCGTTCCCACCACGGTTCCACTCTCCCCACTTTCTCCACGGCCCCAAACACTGCCCGACTATCCCCACTGTCCCCACTGTCCCACTGACTCCTCCGCTGTCCCACTGAGCTGTCCCACTGTTCCCACACTGTCCCCACTGTCCCCACCACGGTCCCCACTGTATCTCTGTCCCATTATCCCACCGCCGTCCTCGCCACCGTCTTCACCACTGTCCCCACCACCACTGTACCCTCCACTGTCCCACTGTTTCCACCACATCCCCACTGTCCCCACACCACTGTCCCCACCACCACCGTCCCCACCACTGTCCCACTGTCCCCACTGTTCCCACCATTGTCCTCACCACTGTCCCCACCACTACCGTCCCCACCACTGTCCCACTGTCCCCACCACTGTCCCGCTGTCCCCTCACCACTGTCCCCACCACCACCGTCCCCACCACTGTCCGCACCCCCCCCGGTTTTCGAGGAGGAGGGGGGGGGTTCGAACTGGTAGTGACCCCCCCCGGTTTTCGAGGGGGGGGGGGGGCGGGGGGGGGGTTCGAACCGGTAGTGACCCCTCCCCCTTTTCATGATGGATGGGGGGAGGGGTTCGAACCGGTAGTGACCCCCCCCGGTTTTCCGGAGGGGGGGGGAGGGGTTCGAACCGGTAGTGACCCCCTTCGGTTTTCCGCCAGCAGTGGTAGAAGACGCTCTTTCAAAGTTCAGGATCGTAAGGCAAGGAAGCCTCAGGCGAAACGCCCGGCCCGCCCTTCCGATTGGCCTCGGGGGTTGACAAGGAGAGGTTTTTTTTTTAAGAACAGGAATGGAGGAGGAAGGCAAGGGGGAAGAGGAGGAGGTTCTTCTTTCGCGCTCTCCTCAGAGACTTCCCCGAGCGAGCCTTATCGGGTCCGCCCGCCCGCCCCGCCAATTAGGCGCCCGCCCAGCCCGCCCGTCAACGAGTTCGCCTGCCCGACTCGCCTGTCCGGGTCCGCCAGGGCGATTGCTTCGAAACCTGCCCGCCTCGTTTTGGTGCCGACGACGGCGGCGACGACGACGACGACGATGACCGACGAGAGTGACGGCGACGACGACGAGAGCGACGGCGACGACGATGACGATGACGACGACGACGACGACGACGACGACGACGACGACGACGACGACGACGACGACGACGACGACGACGACGACGACGATGACGACGACGAAAACGACGACGACGACGACGACGACGACGACGACGACGACGACGAGGACGACGAGGACGACGACGACGACGGCGACGGCGTGCTGTTTCTCCCGCAGGCGCCGGGCGGCGGCGTGAGTCTCCTCGACCTGCTGGAGGCGGACTCTCTCGCCTCGGTTTTCCGCGGCGTGCCTGAGGCCACAGAGCGGCTGGAGGCACCGCCGCGCCGCCGCGGCACCGTCGTCGTGGTCGTCACCGCGGTCGTCGTCGTCCTGGTCGTCGTCGTGGTGGTGGTCGTCGCGGAGGCGCCACCACCGTGGGCGCCGCCGCCCCGGACGCCGCCGTCGTCGTGGTCGTCGCCGTGGTGGTGGTCGTCGTCGTCGTCGTCCCGGTCGCCGTCGTCGCCGTCGTCGCCGTCGTCGTCGCCGTCGTCTTGGTCGTCGAGTTGGTTGTCGTCGTCGTCTTCGTCACTGCCGTGGTGCGGCGGCGTCGGGAGAATGGTGGGAGGGTGGAGGGCGGGTGGGCGGAGGGCAGGGAGGATGGGTGGAGGACAGAGGGTGATCGAGGGAGGGGGGAGCCTGGAGGACGAGGAAAAGGACGTCGACTGCGAAAACGACGACGGCAGCGACGACAAGGACGACAATGTCGACGACGCCGACGACGTGGGCGGTGGCGGAGTCGAGGGTGGTTGGCGGCGGCGGCCGCGACGACTACCGAGAGCTTTCGGGAGTGTCTGCTGTTGCGTCTGGCGGGAAGCGCGCCGCCAGATGGGGCGCCACTACTACCATTTGTTTTTTGACGTTGATCGGACTTTATGCTCCAGCACTCAGCGTTCTGAAATATTGTAAGAGAAGGCCGACTTAGGCTTCAGACAAACAGCAATGGCCGCGGACGGGTGCAGAAATAGTCAGGCGAAGAGAGAGGCGAAGATTAGTAGCCCAAAGGGCGAGAGTAACCCAGTCCGCGGCACGAGGAGATGAGGATACCAGTACTAATAAAATGACCGCAATACGATACATGAAAGGAGGTACTGATGAGGGAGACGAACTACGGCTGCAGGTTGTCTGGCAGGAAAGTTCTCGCCACCTCCCGCAAGCGCTAAAAGAGTACATTGACCCCTTATGTAGGGAATCGGACATGCATAGCTAACAGGCAACACGTGAGAAATAGGAAGGTATGGGAGATATCATAGTGGATGCATGAGATATTGAATAGAGGCGTGTGCGGCTGGCGCTTCAGAAGGCTGGCCTGTACGCAAGCTAGGTGTAGAGTACGCAGAGGTCGAGGCTAGGACTGTAATATGCAGGTGCTGCATACTGGGTGTTGGCAAGTTCCAGTAGGCGCGAGTGATGGGAGGTGAGTACTTCAATGAGATGAGTCTGGCTGCGGTGAAATGTTTAGGTCAAATGTGAGCCACTCCCTGTCCCCCGCCACCGACCCTGCTGTGAAAGTCGCCCGCCACTCATCCCACGTTTCAGGCCGGCGCTGCCTGGCCAAATGTATAGCGTTTACCGTGATGTAGAGCAACGATGTGACGTTCGTAGCTGCAAGAAATGTTGAGGCTTGCACATACGACATGGCTGATCTCAGTTCAAAGAGCGCTCGGCTCTAAGCGCTCGAGAGTATGGCAGGCCCTCAACCAGTGGGTGGCGCTGGGGTTCTTTTTCGGCCTCCCCTGGGGCAGCGAAACCCCTTTGCCACTTTCGCCACCGACTGGGAGGGAGAGGATCCAGCATCATAATTCTGATGCAGGAGCCTCGGGAACCATGAGAGCTGGTCCGAGGAAGGCTCAATTGGTGGCTAGAGCTCGCCTGAAAGTACAGAGACGACGTATTCGTGAGGCGAGCTGAGAGCGTGGGGACTCTGCAGAGTTGAAGCTAGATGCTTAAGTGCATAAGACGCAGTGAAGGAAGAACAGTGCTGAGGCTGACGCATGAAATTGTTGGCCTAGGTTGGCCGTGCTGAGTTGAAACTTGCCATGTCTCCGCCGACACCATCGCCCCATGCCCAAGTCGCAACCACCATCCCCCATCCTTCACCAAAAATAGAGGTAGCGGCGCTGGTTAAGAGTCATATTCCTCAAGCTGGCAAGTGGTAAATGCAACCAAGATGTGGGTCATGGGAAGGCGAGGCTACGTCAGGCAAGTAGATACGGACGGGTGCCTGAGATAAACAAGAAGCGCGTGAGGCTGGCGCTGTGCAAGGCTGACCTGTTCAAATTGGGTACGGAGTATGCGTAGGTCAAGGCGAATACTGTAGGTGTAAACAGTGAAACTAAGGCAAGTCGTTGTAAAGCGGACTAGGAGCGAGGAGCTAAACACAATGTGCCCTTGCTATTCGAGATGTTGGGGCTGTAACATTAAAGCAATCACGAGCGAAGGGAGGTGAGAGTTGCAAAGAGGTGCGCATGATAATAGTGAAATGCTTAGGCCTTTCAAGAACAGCTCCCTGTCTCCCCACCTCGAATCCAGCTCCCACAACCATCATCCCCAAACCTTCACCTTCAGTAGAAGTAACTGCGCTGGCGAAGAGGCTGATTGGCCTGAAGCTGAACTGCATTCAAAGTGTGTGAGAAGGGAGGATGAGGCTACGCCATGTAAGTAGCAACTGAACGTACGCAGCCAGGACGTGGTTGGGGGGTTTACGTAAGCTGCTGGACTCGATGTGTCACTGCTTGTGTATAATGTACCGTAGTGGCTCACAAGCGAGCGGCAAGGATGGGAGAGAACAAGGAGGGAGCATGGCCGTCTTCGTCTCCGAAGGAGGCGTCGCCGCCGCCGTCTTCGTCTCCGCCGCCGTCTTTGTCTCCGTTTCCGTCGCGGTCGCCGTCGCCGTCGCCGTAGCCGTCGCCGTTGAGGCCGCCGCCGTCGCCGTCGCCGTCGCCGTGGCCGTCGCCGTCGCCATCGTCGTCGCCGTCGCCGTCGCCGTCGTCATCGCCGCCTCCGTCGTTATCGCCATCGTCGTCGTCGCCGCCTCCGTCGTTATTGCCATCGTCGTCGTCGCCGTCGCCGTCGCCGTCGCTGTCGCTGTCGTCGTCGCCGTCTTTGTCTCCGTTTCCGTCGCCGTCGCCGTCGCTGTCGCCGTCGTCGTTTTCGTCGTTTTCGTCGGTGCCGTCGCCGTCGCCGTTGTCGTCGTCGTCTTTGTCGCCGTCGCCGTTTCCGTCGCCGTCGCCTTCGTTATCGCCGCCTCCGTCGTATCGCCACCGTCGTCGTCGTCGTCGTCGCTGCCACCGCCGTCGTCGTCGTCGCCGTCGTCGTCGTCGCTGTCGTCGTCGTCGTCGTCGTCGCTGCCGCCGCCGCCGCAGCCGCCGCCGCGGTCGCCGTCGCGGTCGCCGTCGCCGACGCGGTCGCCGTCGCCGTCGCCGTTGCCGTCGCCGTCGCCGTCGCCGTCGCCGGCTCCGTCGCTACCGCCATCGTCATCGTCGCCGTCGCCGTCGCTACCGCCATCGTCGTTGTCGGTGTCGCCGTCGCCACCGCCGTCGCCGTTTTCATTGCTCGTCGTTGGCGGCGGAGACGCCCGTCTTAGCGGCCAGGTGCTCCGCCAGGCCCTGGGCGCGTCCGAGCGCGTGGAGTTGTCCGGCTCGCGCGCAACAGTGCGGGGCCTGGCGCTTGCAGCGGGCAGCCCTCGTCGTCGTCGTCGCCGTCGCCGTCGCCGTCGCCGTCGCCGTCGCCGTCGTCGTCGTCGTCGCCGTCGCCGTTGTCGTGGCTGTCTTCGCTGTCTTTGCCGTCGCCGTCGCCATCGCCGTCGCTGTCTGCGCCGTCTACCGTCGGCGTCCTTCTCCCCCTGGGGTTCCTGCGCTCTCGGTTCCCCAGCAGTCGCTCGTGCCTTGCGCCGTAGGCCACCTCCCGCGACGTGATCCCCGAGCGCCCAGAAAGGGCCCTTGCAGGTCCAGTCAAAAGAGCCGCCCGTCCCGAGACCTGCAACGATTCTTTGTTCCTTCGCAATCCGAGCAACTCCTCGATCTCGGCCTCTGGGGCCTTGCATCGTGCCTGCCATCACAAGCGGACCCCGGACGGAAAACAACCCCCGGGGAAGGTGCCGGGAGCTCTGGGGCCGCTGACTGAACGACTCAGATCGGAGGACAGTTGGGTCCGCATCTTCTCGGCGGGTCACCCCCCGTTCGGCTCCGACGACAGCGCGCAGCTTGTGTTGGCGCCCGTTGCACCACCGCCTGCGTCGTCTTGGAGGGCCTCGGTGAAGAAGCACTCGCTGGCTCTGGCACACGTTCTGCGGATCATCGAGCACAGCCGCCCGCCCTCATCTTCCCAGCGGCCCCCCCCCCCCCAGAAGGTATGCCGCCGCTCGCGACGCCGCGCGCCCCGCCGCGCGCCCTCCCGCTCGACGCCCTGCTGGGCGAGGCGCAGGAGAACAGCAGCGGCCCGGCGGCGCACGCCCTCGGCGACGCCGAGCTCCGGGAGCCTGGCGCCGACGGCAGCGCGTCGACGCCGGAGAGCCGAGGGCGCCCACTACAGTCGGACCGAGGAATGAGATCGAGGTCGCTTCGGGGAGGGTGAGATCGAGGTCGCTTCGGGGAGGGTACCCTCGTGTTCCTTGTATTTGTGGGTGTTCTTGTGCATCCTGGGGGGGGTACCCTTGGATGTTCTGTGTGTGCTGACCGGCGGAGGGTCTCGTGTTCTTGAGGGATGTTCTTTTGTCTTGGGTTCGACTGTAGGTCTGGGAGGGGTGCCCTTTCTGTTCCTCGCCCGTGGTCCCCCACCGCCTCACGATGTGCTTCGTTCTCGGTATCTCCACGGGGCCCTCGGCCTCCAGCGCAGGGGCTCGTGCTTTTGATCCACGCTCTTGTGGCCTTGTTTATGTATGTACACCTGACCGCTAAAGGTCTTTAGTTTTGTTTGGCCCGCCCCCCTTCTCTCGGCGGTGAATAGGACTGGTCCTAAAACTCCTCCTCCCCCTCCTCCTCGTCCCTCCTCCCTCCTCCTCCCTCCTCCCTCCTCCCTCCTCCCTCCTCCCTCCTCCCTCCTCCTCCTCCTCCTCCTCCTCCTCCTCCAAATCCTCCCTCCTCCTCCTCCCTCCCCTCCTCCCTCCTCTCCTCCTCCCTCCTCCTCTCCCTCCCTCCTCCCTCCTCCCTCCTCCCTCCTCCCTCCTCCTTCTCGTCGTCGTCGTCGTTGTTGCCCAGCGGGTGGCCGTGTTTCGGCCGTACACATACATCGATCCTGGCCGGGACGATCCTGGGGCCAGGATGGGGCCGGCCTTCTCCCTCGAACGGGCTTGACGTCCATCTTTGGTTCATGCTGTGCCGGCGAGCAGTGCCATTTAGTGCCTAGCGCTCGTGTGCCCGTGGTGTCTTTGCGCACGCTTCCTGCGGCCTCGCCCCGCCTTCTGATTCTGAATCAGAATCGGCGCCCGCCTTCTGGGACGTCTACATTACCAGGGGCGGGCTGTTTTCAATCCCAGGACTTTTCGAGGGTCGGGGACGACGTCGGGGTGGTGTGGTGTATACTTGTTTAAAGACTTCCCTGGGGAAGCAACGACAAATATGTGCACCAGGGTCCCGTATAAGGCACGCCAGGATCCGCTTTCCTGTGCAAATTTCAGCGCAGGGCCGGAAGAAGCGTCGGTGTACCGAGTTCGGTTCCTTCATCCCAGGAGAGCGCGTTCCGGACGCCCTCGCCCGGCAGCGAGCCAGAGACGTCGGGCTCGCCTTGCGCGCCGGGCGGCGCGCAGAGCTGCGGCGCCTCGCCCACGGGCCGCGGGGGCGCGGAGGCGGCCGCGGGAGGCCCGCCGCAGCTCGAGCACGCGCCCTGCTGGTCGGGGGCCGATGGCCAGCAGCTCGCGCCGATGTGCGGCGGCGTCGGCGGCCAGTGGCTCTGGTGCCCCCTGGTGCTCCCGGTTGAGGTCGGCGGCGCGCAACTGGACGACGCCTAACGTGCACTCTGGGTCTCATCATATGGGGGGATCTCTGCTTTTGGTGGGGGGTCCTGACGGACCTCGTCAAACACGTTTGTCTTGTCTGGGGGTCTCGATGCTGGACCCGTTGTTGCACCGCTCTTTGGGGGAGGGCCCCAGACGCGCTGTCAAACACTTGCTTGACCCGCGCCCCGCTACTGTGAGATCTGGACTACCAGACCAGTTTGATGCACGCTTCCGCGCGTGCTGGCATGCGGGGCGGCGTGCATCGAGCTGCACGGCTCAACGCAGGGGGGTGGCAGGGGGCCTGCCCTCTGAGAGGGCAGGGGGGCCTCTCGTGGAAGGGCGCCAGGCCCTTCCTTGGAGGCCTCCGAGAGGGCCCTCTCAGACGGCGACCGCGCTCCTGAGAGTCGGGGCGGCCTCCTCAGAAGGCCGCCCGTCGCCTGGTTGCGTTCTGTGCGTCGCCTGCCAGGGCTCCCCTCATGCCGCCGCCGCCGCCCTGCTGACGGGCGCTGCCGGCGCCCAGGACATGCCCTTCGCAGGCGCGTCAGGTCAGAAGCGGAAAAAAGGCGCGTCGACGCACGGGGCTCTCATGTGGACAGCGCAGTGCAGGACTACCCATTCACACTTCCCCTGCGCTGCATGACCCCCTCGCGGGGTACTTGCGCACGTAGTATGTACTTCTGCGCGTGCGCCCATTTGCTGCTCCCTGCCAGGGGAGGCTGGCGCCGCGGGCCCCACCCCGGGCGGCGACGACGTCTTCCCCCCAGGGTTTCCGGCGCAGCTCAGCCCTCGCCACGACGGCAGCGACGCGGAGGCCCTGGAGGCCATCGGGTGGGGCTAGGACGAGGATAAATCCGTTCCAGAGCGTTCCAGAACGCTCTCAGGGCTTTCCAGGACGCTCTGAGAAGGCCGCGGCGCCCGATGCATCCTCCCAAACCGCCGGATCTCAGAGATTCTCGATTTATCCTCGCCCGATTTGATCCTGTCCTGGCTTCGTCTTAGGCCAGCAGCCACAGCAACTCCTGCGGCCCCGACGACGAGCCCCGGGCAGCAGCCCTGCCGCACGGCGCGGGCGATGGCGCGCCCGCCGCCCACTTTCGCCAGGGCCTCGGTGCCTCCTCGGAGCCGCCGTCCCTCCTCGGCCCAGCCTCGTTCGCCAGCGTCCCTGGCGAGGGTCAGTGGGTCTGGTTCCCTCAAGGGCAACGTTAGGGGGTGATCGACTATGGACCGCCGAAAAGGGTCCGACAGCCCGCCCCGCTCAGGAACGCGCGGATCCGCCATCGGGGGCCCAGCGCCGATCTACCAGCGATGCATTGCCGATGCCAGGTCGATATTTCCCCGCCCGCCCCCCTCCCGAGCTGGCCCCCCTCAAACTTTGCCCCGCAGGTTCCCTGCTGCTGGCGCAGACGCCTTCGATCCCGCGTGGGGCTGGGAGGGCGACCAGTGGCCCGAGGCCAGCCCAGGGAAGCTCAAAGCCAGGTCCAAGCCATGGTTCCCCAGTCGCCACGCCTGGGTCGTCAACGCGGCGCTGAAGACTTTGGAGAACCCGCCCTCCCAGCTGGCCGACAAGATGGGACCAGATGGGTCTGTGTCCATCGGCGCCCTATTCGCGGCGGACCCGCGGCTGGCGGAGTGGTGCTGGCAGAACCCGGCGCAGCTGGTCAGCGCGATCAAGAAGACGCCCGAGTGCCACCAGTTCATGACCGCCGACAAGGACAGGGCGACCGTCCGCGCGCTGCCGCTGGCGGAGCGCGTCCGCGTCCTGTGCGAGGACTACATGCTTGAGCGGCAGCGGCACGTGGCTGGTCCCGCGCCCGTCTCGGAGCTGCTCCAGCACCCGCCAGTGCAGAGCCATGTGGCGAGGATGGGGGCGGGCGCCGCCGCCTCGTCGGACAGCGAGTACACCAACACCTCCTTGCTCGTCGTGCAGGCGCTGGCGGAGTCGGCGTTGCTGGAGCTCCTGGCGGAGGAGTCCGGCGAGCACTCCGTGGTGCTGCTGCCCCCTTCGGAGCCGCTGCGCACGGTGGTCATCAGGGGCATCGATAGGGGGGGGGAGTCAGGCTGAGGGGGGAAAGCATCATCCCCCATCGCCCATTGATCGCCGCTAGGGGTTTGATAGCCCCACCCCGCCCAGGAACGTGCGGATTCGCCATCGGGGTCGCCGATATCGGCGATGTACCACCGATTCCAGGTCGATGCTCCCCCTGAGCTAGCTGCGCCCCCCCTATCGTCGCCCCTCAGGTTAGGCCCCTCCTCGAGGGCGACGCGAAGCTAGTCTCTCTGCTGCGGAGCGAGGGCGAGCTCTCCCTGACGTATCTGGCCGAGCATCCCGCCGTTCGGAGGATGTTGGATCGCCTGCAGGTGTCCGACAAGCACTCCATCCTGTCGTCCCTGCGGGCGGCCGTGGAGCCCAGACTGGCGGCCTCCTCCCTCCCTCCCTCACTCCTCCTTCTCCTCCTCCTCCGTCTCTTCCTCCTCCTCCTCCTCCTTCTCCTCCTCCTCGTCCTCCTCGTCCTCGCCGATCAACGGTTCAGGCAACTCGATGGGCGGCGGGGGTACAGGAAGGCTGGAAAAGGTAGCTGGGGCCAGCCCTTCCACTGTTTCCACCCCTGACCGGTTTTCTTTTTCCATTTTCCCAGCCCTGGCGACCTCATCGTAAGGACGCGGCGTAATTTACTGGGGAACGTGGCCCTGGGAGAGTGGACGCAGCCTAGTTTACCAGGGATCGTGGCCCTGGGAGCGCGGACGTAGCGTAGTTTACGAAGGATCGTGGCCTTGGGAGAGCGGACGCATCGTAATTTACAAGGGAATGTGGCCCTGGTAGCGCGGACGCAGCGTAATTTACGATGGATCGTGGCCTTTGGAGCGCGGACGCAGCATACTTTACAACCGATCCTGGCCCTTTGGGGGGGGGCGGACACAGCGTAATTCCAAAGGAACGTGGCCCTTGGAGCGCAGACACAGTGTAATTCACAAGGGAGCGCGGCCCTGGGAGCGCGGACGCAGCGTAGTTTACAAAGGATCGTGGTCCAGGGAGAGCGGACGCAGCGTACTTTACAAGGGATCGTGGCACTGGAAGCGCGGACGCATCGTAATTCATGATGGATCGTGGCCTTGGTAGCGCGGACGCAGTTTAATTTACGATGGATCGTGGCCCTTGGGGGGCTGACACAGCGTAATTCTAGACGTTCGCGTATCCCCACCAGTTGCTCGTGTCTCCTGCTTCTTATTGCCGCAGCGGTTAGCTGCCACAACGGGTTGCCTAGCGTGCCTGGCGTGCACTTCCCCTCCTCTCCCTCGTTTCACCGGGTGCATCCCGCGCGGCTGGGGTCGCCGCCAATATTGCTGTCCGATGGTGCTCTGACAGCCTGGCAAGGTTCACACTGGGAACGGACGGTCAGGTGGCCCCTGACCTGCTCCTGTCCGGTGTCGTCCTCCACTGGCGACCGTCAGTGTTCCGTGATCCATGCATGACTACATAGGGGATGGGCGGCCACTTGGCCTCTGGCCTGCTCCTGCTTGGTGTCAGCCCCTACTGGTGACCGTTTGGGTTCCGTGGGGACTCGCTACGGTGCCGTCCTCTTCTGTGCAAGGGTTTCGGCATGTGTGGCTCTGGGCGCCCGTCGGCTGCTTTCTCCTTCATGGACTTCGCTTTCGACCTGCGCCACCTGGTGTACATAGCAGATGATCTGCCGTTTGCAGTCCTGTCTGTGACGAGGCTGCCCCCTCTTCACTCCGGCGCCGACACGATGCTGTTGTGTCACCTACGGCACGGATGTCGCCCTGATGTGCCTGTCGGACCTGCTCGTTTTCGTCGGGCCCTTTGCCGACTCACACCAGGTGATCAACCTCTGCGCGTTCATGGTCGCGCCGCCGCGCCAATTCTGGCTGCGCCTACTTGCTGGTTGCCACCGGGATTTCAACGCCACTGGGTTGGGGATACCGCTCCTGGTGCACTTCTGAGTGGCTGCCCGCGCGTTCAATTCGCTTGCCCCTCTCTTTTCTTGCTGGCTAGTCGCAGCCCCGCTAGTGTTTGGACGGCTTTCGACTTGCTTCGCGAGCCCGCAGACCAACAAAAATCCCCACCAGCTGGCCACGTCAACGAGGTCTTTGCTGCCATCTCCATCGGCATCATGGTCGACTGGCGCTCACATCGTGCTCGTGGGCGATCTCAAGCAGCTCCCGCCCACAGTGCAGTCCTGGTACGCAGAATACCTGGGACTACAAGTATCCCTTTTCGAGAAAGTTCGAAACGCCCTGGGCGAGGACAGTCTTGCCACAGTACTTCTCACAAGGTGCTTCAGATGCCGCCCCGACGTCCTTGGCTTCTCCAGGTTCGCTTACTTCGACAAGAAGATCGAGTCAGGCCTCGTCACGCCGCTACAAGACCCTGCCGTTGTCAACGGGCTTCCGTGGGTCATGCGCCGACCGCTGGACAACGAGCGACTGGAGACTGTCACCAAAAAGCTAGGAAAAGACGTGGGCGAATTCAGGGGCGAGATCTGCGTCCTACGCACCGAGGGGATGACGCCTGGAGACGTCCACCGCGTGCTCATGATCGACAATCCACATGCGGACGTCGCCTCCAATGCCGAGAGCGGCTGCGCCAACATCCACGAGGCTGCCACTTGCCTTGAAGTAGTTCGCGCGCTTGGCCCCCCCATGCGTAACTCTGGACTAACTGTCGAAGTGATCGCCCCCTACGCTGTGCAGCGGGCCGTTCTGTGCGGCGGGTGTCCACAGGGCGAGAGTGGCTTCTGGGAGAACGCTGCGCTGGCTGGATCGAAGCAGGGTAAGAAAAGCCGAGGCTCTACAGCGGCTTCAGAGCCAAATCCACCGGGTCAGTCATCCACTCCCTTCTCCCCATTTGGTTCCCAACCACGCGCGGTCAGCGCGCGCCCGCTCTGCTCCTCCTGCCCGCGCCTCTGGCCTGGGCACTGACCGCCCGCTCGATGGCCCCCCGACAGCCGACAGCGGGTTGGCACTTTCGTTGAAGGGATTGACCGAAACGCTCCCTGACCTGATGGAGACTGGTCAGCTCTTTCTCCCCATTATTGGCGCCAGTCAGGGGGGGGGAGCTGACGTAGTCATCTACCTTACCACGCGCCCCAACGGGTCTTACGACTGGGATTTCCTCAACGCGCCAAACGGGACCAACGTCGCGTTGGCCAGAGCTATACGGCTCGTGGTCCTCATCGGGGACCGGCGAGTGTTCGAGGCTGCGACCGAGTCTGCTCTTCGGACCCTCGCCGAATACGGCGTGGCCGCAGACCTCTGGGTGAGGCCTGCCCCCACTGAGCCTTTGGAGGTGCGCAACAGGGGATGGAAGCCCTTTAGTCCATTAGCGCAGTGGGGTGCAACTGCTGAAATCGGGACCGCCACGCCGGGCAGCAACCCGATCGCAACAACGCCGAGCGCTGCGTCCAGCATCCAGAAGCAGAAGGTTTACATGCGAGGGGATCTGGCCAAAGGTTTCGTCTACACATCGACAGACCGCTGCCGGGAGGTTTTGAATGGGGAGCCCTGGCAAAGCAGCTCTACAACTCGCTGAGGGCGCTCCTGGCCGCGCCCGCTCTGTTTCCTGTTCTCTTCCTTGTCTCTGGCCTTCGCCCGCGCTCCCTGAGCCCCGCGCAGCGTCCCAGCGACCCCGATCTCTACGACAGGAAGATGTGGAGCCACAAAGGGTTGACCTGCGATGTTACGGTCGGAACTGACGCCAGCAATCTGCATTCTCTGGGCGCGCCTGACGCGTGCAATCGGGCTTGGCCACAAGTGGGGCGACGAGAGCACCTCGCTCGCGGTGGCCAACCTGCTTGGGAGACTAAAAGGCTGTCTACAGAAGCGCGCATCCAAGGACTGTCGGGGCTTGCCAGCTGGCATGGACAAACAGCTACCCACGGTATGGAGTGCCACGACGACACAGTGTCCAATGCGCCAACTTCATCCAGGGATGGACGGGCAGGAAAACATCATCAAAGGCGGCTACATGCCGAACTACCCCGCCGCGCGTGCTCAGACCTGCACGGCCCTCGTGATGATGATGCCAGCGCTTCGGGAACCAAGGGCCTGTCTCTTCCCAGTCTCCGAACAGGAAGGGGCAGGGGATATCGTGGAGGCCGTCCTGGGCATATGCAAACCCGTCAGCTCAACTGGCACCGCGTCCGTTGCAAAGGACCTTCATTTCCGGACGCAGTTTGGCTTGGCATGGAATATTTCCAATCACGACTACCAGGACGTACATCGGATATTCAATGACGCGCTAAGAAACGTGGGCGTGCGTATAAGTACCAGCCACCATCACGATGTCTCGAAACAAGCAGGGTGTCCGTCAACGTGGGAAGAATACGCGCGTTCTGACTTTCACATCGAAGGGATCCTGCTGGTGATCGACCAGCTCATCGAACCACTCCAATTACCGTTGGTTCCTACCAGCGACCAGCCTGGCAACGAGACAACCAGCTGCGCCATCTGCTGGCTCTACAAATTCATCACAGGGAATCGCAAGCGTCTCAGGCGCACGCCGGACCAGAAGCTGCGCTATGTTGGCGCAGTGCGACCGATGGACCAACATGACCTTCTCATACCTGAACGTCCTACAGCGAAAGTGGGCGCCACAATGACACCGAAAAGGCTCCGAACAGGAGGCCAGCGCTTCTCGGCGTCGCAGAACACTGCCAGCTTCTACCGCGACGACTGTCAGAGAGGCCCCTTCCACCAACATCGAGGAGGGCACTTGGGAGGGCCACGATCTGCGTCAACGTCTGGCAACGGCAAGGATTGCAGGGTGGCGCGAGGGACTCAACAGCCGTTGGCTGCGCACTGGGTGCTGGGTGGAGAGCCTCGAGAAGCAAGGTGCTGACGCCCCCGCAGGTGACCCGATGCGCGAAAAGCTGGCCAACCTATGGAATAGTATGCCCAGCAGGCCCACAGCTTTCAGTCTGACACCGCCTGTGCACCTCCCAACCGGGCCTGCCAAAATCGCAAACCCAACCGCCGACTGCCTGCTATGCGACCTCCTTGTTTTCACCGGACTTAGCCAACGATCCCAAGTTGACGGGCGCACCAAACCCCCCAACACGACCTGGCGACGGCCGCTTCGGCACAGAGGGACTCCAGTCTGGGCCTACAGTGCTACGTGCGACGGCTGCCCAGAGCCCAAGCTGCTATGCGCCTGGGAACACGGGCAGCCAGCGGTCGGGTGCTTCGTCTGGCGACCGACTCCTGGCATGGGGGACGCAGAGCAGTGCGACCTACCTCCCTGGGGCAACTGGATCGACTGCTGGAAGAGTGTCGATTGGAACGCTGGATGGTACTGCGGGAACTGTCTTACTCACGTCTTTGACGCTGCTCCATCCGTCATCAACCGCATCCTTGCGCGTGACGCGCCATCGATGTCTCCAGTTTCCCC